GCAAGAGTGAGAAGGTAAGATCTGGTTTCTCATATGAGACCCAGCCGCCTCTCTCCACAGACTCGGCCTTTGCTCATTTAGTCACCCCTGAAATTACCAGAGTTCTCACAAGAATTGAACTAACATGAGATGCTAGAAGTAGAGATCCTTAGTTCTGCCACCTCTCTGGCTCCATTTTGTCACACACTGGATGGCCTTTCAAGATGGAATCATAGTGTCAGGAGCCAAGATTCTGATTTACGACAGTCCCTCTTTTTTTATCCTTAGATAAAATGCTTAGTTACTAAGCATTTTGAAAATGAATCCATTAAAGTTGTCATGTAATTAGGGACCAAAGCAACAGGTGACAAGTGCCTTACATTTAATGTTTTTCTGGATATCCCCACCTGACTGAGGGGATGCACCTAAACCAAGACAGTACAGGTATCCCAGGATTCCTCTATGAAAAGTGTCATTACTATATCATAAAGATTTCTTAAACAGTGCAATGATATGTAATGATAAATTTTAAGTTGATTACTGACAACAAAAAATATAAAATCTAGAAGGTTAAAGCAATGGAAAATCCAGGTGTAAGTGATAAAATATATCATACATTCTTTGTGCTTAGAATTTTTTTTCTGTTTATTAATTGGTGAAAATAGATTCTCTCATTATATAGTAAAGTCTTGGGCTGGGAATTTAGCTCAGCAGCATAAGCACCTTACCTGGCAAGTGCAAGGTCATGAGTTCAATCCCTGGTACCAAAAATAAATAAATAAATAAATAAATAAATAAATAAACTTCTTTACATGCTTGTAAACATACTTGTGAAAGTTGCCTAACTATCGTTACAGTTGTTCATTTGTAGGTCACTTTCCACTACAAACCTCAAAATGAAGATGATACCAATCGGTTGGTGGTTACAACTGCAGGAGGAAACTTAGGTGGAATCCTACCGCCTCTGGCTGGTATTTATGTATCCTGGGCCCTTCCGGAAAGATTTGTAATCACCTTTTTAAAAACATATTTCAAAACACCCCAAACTGTGCCACCTCCCTAACACCAACTCTATCCAATTCTACTCTTAATTTCCTTTTCACATTGAAATGCAAGAATACCAAGAAATATATAACCAAATGGATTTTTACTGCCTGCAAGCATTTCCTCTAAAAGAAAAACATATGAAAGTTCATTCATAAGGAATATACTCTTAAGTCTGTAACTACCACTTTCAAATAAATATGCTCAAAAAATAAATCTGTAAATAACCATCACTTTTAAAATACAGAAAATTTGGAGAAAACCATCTTTTTATGTAACAGTCACTTCCAGACAGTCCAGAGTGTTATTCTTATCTCTTCCACACAAACCTCCATGTTGAGATACTTCTGTCAGATTGAGAAAACCTAAGTACTCCACCAGTTCAAAAGAGGCAGGGAGACTTCCTGTTCAAAGAGTGATCCCTCTTGACACACACATGGCGACATTAGCAGAGCTGGAATGCAAGTTCTAAAAGACAAAGTACAGAAAACAGGTCTGCCCTTCTCTTTCCTAATAAAACAGCCAGAAATATACGCATCAGGAACATTCACTTCACTCCTATATACCTTTATATTGCATTCCCAGACAAAAGTAGGGAGCACCCAATCTAGAATCAAAACAGCAATTGGTTTCTAATATACATATGTCCCATGCCATATTTGTGAGCCACTTCTACTAAAAACTATATTCACTCTTTATCTGAAATTCAATTTAACTGGGGGTGCGCTTGGGCTGTTTTTGCTAACTATGAGAGCCCATATAAATACATCTTCCGAAATTACTTATAAATGCTGTGGGCTCAAAACTCTTTACCTTTATCTCACACATATCCCCTGAACTCTGGAGTCAGAAAATTGCTCTGGTATTTCAGCTTCAGAGACTAACAGCATTTTACTGACAACATATTCCCAGCTGAGCCCCTGCTTTCTGCCACCATCCCTTCCTCCTCCCCAGAACTGCTTCTCCTGCAGTCCACTCCACCCCACTTGAGAATCCACTCTTCTATTGCTTGTGTCAAAAATTTGGCATTATCATTAGCTCTTCAAAGCAAAGAAGTTTCTCTAACCGTAAATCGTTTACTTTCATATGCAGAGGAACTCTGATTTTACATGCCTGTAAATCTAAGGCAAAATAATGGGCTTAGGCAGTACCACCAATGAAGAAATCAGTCCCCAGGGCTGTCTGCACAGTTTTTCCTAGGCAGCCTCTTGCCACATTTATGCCAATCAAGCAATAAATGACTGCGCTAAAAGAAGGGCAAAGGTGACAACATCTTTTGCATTTACAATCTCAACCCTAGGCTTTCACTTTCACTTCCAGAAAAACAGCTGAAAACTTTTCATGACAACCTGTTAACAGTTGTTTGGAATAGGAGGTTACTCATTACAATATCTGAAACCTCTACTTCATCCAGGGTAAAAAAGGGAACACATATCTTTCCATTTGGTACGGTACCAACAAGTAGCTCTATAGACTCTCATTAAATCCTTCCTCACCAGACAAAAAAGAAGTTTCATGAAACTTCTAGACAAGAAGAGAATGCACAAAGAGTGAATCCACATCACAACTTCAAGGTCTAGATCTCCTGGAGACTTTTGCCAATTCTTTGGTACAAATAATGACTACTGTGAAGTGATACTAGATCATTTGTATCAAACATCAAGTAATCTAAAATCTAGATAAGCAGAGTAACCTACCTTTAAAAAAAAACTAGTCCAGATCAGCATATAGTTTTTATAAGTTTCTACCAACTGTTACCTTCTGTGATTCTCAACTGGGAGCAATAGTCTCTTCCCCTCTGCAAAAGCATGGCACTGTTAAAGCGACAGAGAAGCTAGGAAGAGCGGACAATGCATAAAACGTTCTTGGTTGTCATGTTTTCAGATATTTATAGTCTTAGCTTTATACTCAGTAAAGGCACAATGAATTTGGAGGTTTCTGTTACCTAGGTTTTGATAATTGTGTCATCATGTCAAGAAGAAATGTTTATCTAACATTCCAACAGGGGTAAGTACATGTTCATAAATGGCCAATATGATTAGAACTGTAATTTATAAAAGTGACCAGATCAAAACTGAGGTAACAACCATGTAAAAAAAATTTTTTTAAGATTTTTTAAATAAAAGCTACCATGAATTGATTTATCAAGCAATCAGACTTTTCTGAAAATTTAGGACAACATAGATAGTAATAGGCATTACATTATTACATTTATGTGGGACACAAAAGAAGTAAGTTTCCTAAAGTAATTTCAGAACAACTGCATTGTACAGAAAAGTTTGTTGTAAAATTCAACTTTAATAGCTACTTCTCTACTACATTGACACATTAGCTCCACAATAAGCATTTTTCTTAGATTTCAAATTTTGAGGAAACAATCAAATATGAATGGAAGATCTATATTTTTTCATTTTTGTACATTTCAATGCCAGAAGTTTCCATGCCTTGTCAAGAACATAAAGAGGCACATTGTTATATTGGTACAGTATTTCCAGGATCTCTGAAACTTTCTGTAGATTCTGTCAGGTAACAAAATACTCTTTTTAAGCCTAGATTTTTTTTAAAAAGATCGAGTCTGTTTAAAATGTCTGTAGCCCAGTGGTTAGCTCCTATACATAAGTCTATCTGTAGGAGCAATTTCACACATGCCCAGCCCAAAGTGTGACATCTGAAAGAGTGTTCTTTTGGCTTTTGAGGTTTTGGGGGTCAATTCTATTAAATAGTCGACAGCACTCTCAGTATCTCAAGCTAAAATTTTCATCCATTTCTTATACAGACTTTTCATGGCTAGTTTTCTTCCTAACTTAAAATGCACATATGCCACTCTATGTCATCATTTTCCTGAAAACTTCAGATCAAGAAGATTCTGATTTCCTAAAATACAACTACAATGCTTTAATTCTCAGGTATCATCAATTAGTCCTTTCCAGTGATCAATTTGTACTCAAATACGGTATTCAATGACTCTTTGGCCATATGAAACACTAGAATCTTCTACATGACAGCAATCATACTATTCAAAACATTCTCCTGCACATGTCACTGTGAGGAAAACTACCCAGTTATTAATGTCAAACAGATTGCCATTTGGGAAAACAAAAATGAATTAAAATCAGCTTCGGACAAAGTACAGCTTTATAGAAAAACACCAGGTTTTTATGTGCAAATGTCTTTAATGTCTGATTGAAATGTTTAAAGAACGTGTTAGCAAGGAATCTGTTCCTGGTCTATGTAATCCAGGACAATTTAATGAAAATAGTTTCAACGCCGAAAGGTCTTCAGTCACAGCCGCCCGTGATTTTACCAACGATGCCTTTGCCCCACTTTCTAGTAAACACTAGTAAGAAACGTTAGGATTCTAGCTCTGGTCCAGGGCTCTATTTAGCCTAGCAAGGTACAGACCTGTTAGGAACGCTGGGACGCTTCCCAGAATTTTTTTTTCCCTGAAACTCTGAGGAAAAACTGTACCTCGAAAGCAATGTGCGTTGCAAACCACGCAGATCTAAACTGCTACCCCTGCCTCCCCCAGCTTGGCACAGGAGGCTTTTGGGTTACCCTTCACGCACTAAAACTCAGACCCCATCGCCGTCCTCGCCGCCACCAGGCCACCTTCTCACGCCGCCCGCGGCTCGGCAGCCAGTCCCAAGCGCACCTGCTGCCCTGCGAGCCTCTGCGGAGTGAACTCGCCGTGCACCCCGCTGCCAGCCAGGCGCGCACCTCCACACGCTCCCTACCCCTTCTGCGCCAAACTGCCCCAATTAGCCACCTGCACCGCTACTCTCCACACCCAGCGCCTCCCTGCCCTGCTCCCGGAGGCTCGGTCCCGCACACCTGTCTCTCCCCGCGCTGCCACACCTCGGGCGCCCGCGCCCCGCCCGCGCCCCCTCCGCCCGCCCGCGCTCTGCCCCCGTCCTGCCGCCGCCCGCGTCCCCGAGCGCCCGGCCCTCAGCCGCGCTCTCCGGCTCCACCCGCCGTACCTGCCGAGAGCTCGGCGCCCACGGCCAGCAGCAGCAGCAGCAGCAGCGCCTGGCGGAGCGCGGGGGTCATGGCCACCGTGCGAGCGCGCAGCGCCGCGCCGCGCCGGGCCGGGCCAGGCCGGGCGGGCCCCCGACGGAACCGGCCGCTTTGAAGTTCCCGGGCGCGGGAGCGAGCGCAGCCCGACGCCCTTCGGAAGTGCGCGGCGGCTCTCGGCGGCGCGGGCCCCTCGCTCCCCGCCCCCACCCCACGCCCCCCGCGCGGGCGGCGCGCGGCGCTCCTGCCACTGGCCCGGCAGCCGCGGGGAGGGCGCGGGGGAGGCGACAGAACCGCCCCTGCCGCGCCTCCGCCCCCTGCGCCCTCCGCGGCCGCCGGCCGGGGCTGCGGGGCTGCGGGCTGCGGGGCTGCCGGGCCGGGTTCCCGGAGCCGGGCGAAGAGGGAGCCGGGCCGGGCGGCCCAGACTGAAGCGCAGATTGTCTGGGTCGGGAGGGACTTCAGGAAAACTTAAAACAAGCCGCAGTTGCTCTCTGATATCTGCCCCACAGTGTCCTACAGCAGGTCGGCCCTGCTAGGGCTCTCGATAGTCTCCTTCAGTGTCCCTAAGTCTAACTGGACCGAGCCGTGGAATACCTCGACATTCCCGCGGACCTGTCCCACCACCAACCACATCGCGGCTGGTCAAGGGTCTGTAGAAGTGCGCCCTCTCTGTCCATCCCTGGAAATGACCGCTTGTCCCACTGCGTTTGGCACCTACAGGTTTGGCCCAGTGCCTCCCAGAAACCTCCGTTCCAAGAATGGTGACCCAAACAGAACCACCTGCACCGAATGATGCGGCCATCTGCTCTTAAAAGACACGACCTTTGAGTGATGTCTGGACACTTACAATTTCAGCAATTAAAGGGGAGGGTGCGTAGAATATGATTAATGAAAGGAAAAGAATTATTTAAACTAAATAATATGTTAGAAACTTGTTTAAGTATCACCTAAATCCCTATAGCCTTATTTTCTAGTGGGTATGCGTCCCATCTATATTGCACAGTAACTGAAAATATAATTGCATCAAAGTGAATGGGGTCGTTTTCACCTGAACAGCACAAAATAAACCAAGAACACAATACTGGGGCTTATGACTGCTATTAGAGGGTTCTTTCAAAGATGATCGAGTACTATAAAGCAACTGCTTTAGAGAAAAAGACCACAGACTCCCTCCCCTGGCTCAGCACTCAGGAGGGTGTTCTTTCTAAGGTGTAGGAAAGGCCTGTTGTGAGATGGTGCGTGTATAAATTCTATCCTGTCAAAGAATCGCACTGTTGGAGGCGTTATGGTCGTTGGACTTTGAGGCATGACGGTGACAATCCCCAGGCTCTCTTCCCAATAACCTTGGACGAATCAAAACATTCCTATGCATAAAAAGCGTTCGTTCTCATTTTATCCTGGATCCAAACAAATAAAAAAATAGAGATGTGGGACAAATCTGAGCCCTTCCAGACACCCACAAAACAGATGCTTTAAAAAGCCAAAGAAAATGCGGGGACACATTATATTTTGACTGACTTGGCTCGCTCATTATTTGGTAACTGTACCCTAGATTGGGATCTGCAGGTGGATCGTGAGACACAGAGCTTTAGTGGAATTTAGTGTATTCTGTGGTTCTGCTTTCTCAAAAATAAATGAAACTTAATTCCTCCTTATTTCTTATCACTAAAACTGGATCAAAAATGTAGTGTGTATAAAGATCGCTACAAAAAATGTAGTGTGTGTAAACCATAGTCATTAAACTACCGTCAGAAATTTCCTCCCTGGGTATTTACTGTATCTCACATACAGTAAGCAGCATCTTTAGCAAGTTGTAAAACTCTTATTTTTCTAAGAAAGTACAGTTATCTCAAGAAGTCTGATGTGAAATAGCTTTCTTATTATAAGCAAACAATACTTATTATAAACAATACTCGTGGCCTGATTGTGCATCGTCAAGATGGTACCCACTAACCACGTGTGGATATTGAGATTTGACATGTGTCTAGACCAAATTGATATGCATGGTAAATGTAAAATGCCTGCTAGATTTTAAAAATGCTTAGTACAAAAACAATATTGTACAATACATTATTACTAATTTTCACATTACTCAGAAGTTGAAATGATAATGTTTTGGGACATATTAGATTAAATAAAATACAGTTGTGTGCTGTATGATGTTTCAGTCTACAATGGTCTTTGTATACAACAGTGATTTTATAAGATTATAATAGAGCTGCAAAATTCCTATTGCCTAGTAACAGCATAGCCATCATAAAATTGTAGCACAACATATTATTCATGATATTTATGGTAATGCTAGTGTAAACAAACCTACTTCATTGCCAGTCATATAAAAGTACAGCACATACAATTAGGTACAGTTCATAATAGGAGATAAAGGTAAAAAACTGTCACTGGCTGTGCAGCATTTACTGTATTACACTTTTTAATCTTGTTTAAAGTGTACTTGTAAGTTAACTGTTAAACGGATTCAGCCAGGTCCCTCAAGAGGAATTTCAAAGGCATAATTGTTATCTTAGAAGATAACACTCAGTATGGGGTGCTGCCCTGAAGACCTTCCAGTGGGACAAGATCTGGAGTTGGAAGATGGACATAGATGATCTTCACCCTGTGTAAGCCCCGTGTCTTCACTGTTAAAAATATTTTAAAACAGAACAAAAATTGTAAAAGTAAAAAGCTTATAGAATAAGCATATAAAGAAAATATTTTGTAGAGTTATACAATGTGTGTTTCAATCTGTGATATTACAAATGAGTCCAAAAGTTTTCAAAATTTAAAACGGTTATATAGAAAAATGTTGTAGTAAGCTGAGATGAATCTGTTCACGAAAAGCTAAAAACATTTTTTAAAAAGTTAGTGTAGTCTTCATGTACAATACTATACAGTAATGTCCCAGGCCTGATTATTTTACTCACCATTCACGACTCACAGAGAGCAATGCCAAGTCCTGCAAGTCATATTCATGGTAAGTGTCCTATAACTGTAGCGTTTCTGTGTTTGGTATATTTAGATGCACAAATATTTACCCTTGAGTTATAGTTGCCTCTGATACTCAGTGCAGTAACGTGCTGTGCAGGTTTGTAGCCTAGGAACAGTAGGCTGTATCATGTAGCCTAGATGTGTAGTCAGTAATACCATCTCAATTCCTGCAAGCAGCCTCTGTGATATTTGCACAAAGAATAAGCTGACTAACAATACGTTTCTCAAAACGTATTCATCATTAAGTGACACATGAATACATGAAAGTTGTGATAAAAAATTTTTAGTAGATTAAAAAAATTTACAGTAAAAAATACATTTCTATTAATCCCTCTCAAAAATACTTCCTCTCCATCAAGAATACTTACCTATTATTGTAGCCACTTTCTGAAGCACTAATTAAAATAGATGAGTTTATTGATACTGATTTCACCTGTTTCCTTTTGCTTTTAGTGTATACCATGGTTTAGGTAATTTTACTCTAAATGTAGATGTTAAAAATTCATTCCCCTGCCCATGGCACTATGGAAAGGTGGCGGATCCTTAAGAAATAGAGACCCTCTGGGAGATGTTTAGGTCACTGGCCCATGCCATTAAAGGAGACAGTGAGACCTCAGTCTCCTCCTTTTCCTCTCTTGTTCTCCAGCCATGAGTGACAGTTTGCTCCACACTTGCTCCTGCCCTGCTATGCCACTGTAGGCCCAAGGCAACAGGACAGTTAGTCATGAGCTGAAGTCTCTGTAACTGTGAAGCATAATAAACAATTTTTCTTTATAAATCGATTATCTCTAGTATTTTTCACAGTGACAGAAATATACAGTGACCAATATAAAGGACTCATAGAAAATTTCAAATCACAAGTGTGGCTCATATTATGTGTATTTTCAACAATACTGTTGTAAATAATTCCCATTAGATGTCAAAAATCCTCACCTTGTCTAAAGAACAATATTATGCAATACAAATTAAACGAACACTGAGATTCCATCTTACTCCAGAAAGAATGACTATCATCAAGAATTCAAATAGTAACAATTGCTAGCAGGGGAAAAGGAACTTTTCTACAGTGTTGTTGAAAATATAAACCAGTACAACCAATATAGAAATGAGTGTGAAGATTTCTCAAAAAAACTAAAAATAGAAATTCCATGTGATCCAGCCGTTTCTCTTGTAGGTACTTTTCAGAAACAGTTAAAGACATTATATTACAGAGACACGTACCTGCCCATGTTGACAGCAGCACAATTCATAATAGCTAAATCTTGGAAGCAGCTTATATATTGGTCAACAGATAGATGGTAAAGAAAAGGTGATATTTACACACACTGAGGAACTACTCTGCCAGCAGGAAAGAGAAATTTGAGTTATTTGGAGGGAAATGGATGCCCTCTGGGGGTGTAATGTTAAGTGAGATAAACAGACACATTAGTTTAAATATCACATGATTTCACTTATATGAGAAACCCTAAATATAAAGAGCGAAATAAGAGCTAGATAAGAGGAAGCAGAGACACAGAGATCTTTCTCCAAGAGGAAAGAGATCAAGGGATGGAAATAGAGGAGGGAAAAGGGTTTTACAAAGGAATTAAAGTGTGTCATGTACTTGTATCAACTTCCCCAAAGGAATGTAAATGTTATGTATTGCAAAATATACTAAAAAAGGAAAATGATCAAGAGATGGATGAAGAGGAGAGAGAGGGAAGGGAAGAGGATTAAAAAATAAATTAAAATGTGGTATGCACATGTACCAGTTCTGCACAAGGGGTGTCAACATTATGTTCCACAATCAAGTACAACTAAAAAAAAAAGTGGTAGGTGTCTTGCCAGTCAACATATGGTCAGCCAGTGAAGAAAGCAGGATCTTTTCATTCTTGCTGCAAACTTTTGAGACAAAACAAAAAAGTTAATATGTCAAAAAACTAAGTTCTCTATTTGTAACAGTATTTTAAACAAGGTTTCAAATGGAGTGTTCCTCATCTAACTGTGCATGTTCCAATGTTAATACTATGAACATTTTGAAAGTAAGGCATTAAACACTTACAATGTACTAAATCCCAAAAGCTAGCAAAAAATATGAATTTGGCATTTATAAGTACCTCTAATATGCTTCAGCCTTTAATGTCACCTTCATGGCACTCTTTCTTTTAATAGCTTTCTCTTTTTAATACATCTCAATATAAGCATGATTGACACTC